TGTGTGCTGGGTGTGTGTGTTGGAGTGTTTGTGTGTGTGTGTGCTGGGTGTGTGTGCTGGTGTGTGTGTGTGTGTGTGTGCGCGCGTGCTGGGTGTGTGTGTGTGTTTGCTGGGCGGGGGCGTGCAAGCGGAGGTACAGGAAATGGACCTATGGATCCAGCTAGTTTTTAGGCTGGGGAGGAAGAAATAGATTGCCATGGCAAGTGCTTGAGTGTGCAGCTATCGCAAGCAGTGGTGTTGGGAGGGCAGAGCCGCGCTGGGGCAAACTGGAGCGCGGGGGGGACCGGGTCATGTGGAGCCTGCAGGGGGCACAGGGGACGCGGTGACACATCCAGGGAACCCAACCCCCTCGTGCACCCTCTCTCATGAGCCCCCTGCAATGCCAGCGGGGCCAATGTCAGTGTGCATGGAGGAGAGGGGACCATGCATCAGTGAAAATTAATGATTTCCTCGACTGAGTGTTAACTTACATTCATGCACTGTCAGTACAGAAAGAAAGTGGATCATGTTTTTAGTTTCAAATTCGTCTCCATATTTTGTAACCATGTGTGGAAGTGTACCTTCAATAAACCCAACATTAAATATTCATAAAAATGTTACATTTGGGGGAAGAAGAAAAAGAGGGCTCGTCCGGGATTTGAACCCGGGACCTCTCGCACCCTAAGCGAGAATCATACCCCTAGACCAACGAGCCACTATAGTTAGTGGATTGAAAGTACTGTAAAGGAAGCTAATGTTGGTTCAGGCCACATGGTTCTTGATTTAGATAGGTGTTTACCATGACAGAGTAATTCTATCAGTATTCTATCCTCTATTTGGCATCTTTCAGCAGGGATAATTCTTCACCTCTTTATTTCTTTATTAGTTATTAGAATAAAATTAATAAATTATATAAACAATACTATTATTTGTAATATTGATAATAATATGCATAAAACTGCACAGACTCTTTCATCAAGCCTGAGCAGGTGATCCCTTTTCATCCTTTACACCTATCGTAAGAGCTGCCTTTTCTTTGGGTAAAACCTGACCACTTACACAGTACAAGATCTATGGCCCACTTAAAAGATGAAAGAAAGAAGGGATAAAAACCCACAGAAAACAAGCTGTTATATTAATGGCAAGCAGCAAAATCATTACTCCTCGTTTTATAATAGATCAATATTTAATTGAATAACTATAGTCCCAACCTTAATCTGAGCCACACAAGTGGAGCCCTTATGCTGCATAGGTGTCTGCTTTTATTCAAAGGTATTTTAGGTGGGCACTATCAACCTGTCTCTCGTATTTACAAAGAACCAATTCTCATAGCATCCGAGTGCTGAAGTACAGTTACATAAGAGAGTCAAGAATCTCAGAACAAAAGTGGGTTCTGCTTCTACTATTGCTGTATTTGGATTTTTAAAAATTATTTTAGCTTTGTTATTATGGGTTAGCTTTGCAAATGATAGGGGTTTTCAGTGAGATCTAAAGGCAGTCAGACTAGGTTACATTACAATCTCAGTTTCACCTACAATAGTTTATTACTTAGTATGTTCCCTGACACTTGGCATATTCTGGAAATGATCTAAGGGAAGTGCCAGGGTTTACTACAATGTAGCCTGCAGCAGCACTCATTTTAATACAGAGGATGCTATAATTGACATGGAACACCATTCTAGAAATAGTTTCTCTGCAGAGTACCATTCCAAGGTAGTGACCTGCTGTATGGTATAGTGGACCGTGCAATATACGAACTATATTGCTTGGATTGAGATAGAGAAATTCCATGATGGGACTTGTAGACTTTTCAGGTAGCTCTGTTTGGATCAAAATAGGCCTTTTGTAACTCTGAAGACTGCATCTTGGTGCCCATTTGAGCAATCATGGAAACAGATCATGATGAGATATTGTATTCTAGGACTTACAAAGCAAAACAACAAAACCACCACCAATCTAAGATTGTTACAGCACCTTCTCGTTTGATGTCTTTTGTGAATACCTGGTCTTTATTACCTGAAAAGGGTTGGTCCTGAATAGGCTCCATCCAAGTATACTTGAAGAGTGATGCTGTCACATCGCACAGGGTGAGGTGACCTTTTAAGGAGTTTGGAGCTCAGCTGCCCCCGTGTGAGGCTTAGCCCTCCTCCCCAAGTGAAGGAATGAGTTTAGGAGTCACATGGCACCTTTTAAGGAGTTTGGAGCTCAGCTGCCCCCGTGTGAGGCTTAGCCCTCCTCCCCAAGTGAAGGAATTCGTTTAGGAGTCACATGGCAAGGGGAATCAGTGATTAAACTAGGCCTGCAGGGGGGCTACATTGTCCTGCATTTTGCTTCAACTACCCCAGACTAACACGGCTACATTTCTATCACTATGGCAAGGGGAATCATTGATTAAACTAGGCCTGCAGGGGGCAGCATAGGGAGGCTATACAGGAGGAATCTTGTGTGGAAGTGCTCTGTTAAGAGGGAGGGAATGAACTAGAAAAGGGGCTGGTAAGGAGGCTAGCCAGAGTCTCTAGGAAAGAAAGATGGGATACTTTATGTTATGGGGTAGACATAATTGTTTTGCATCCCAGGATGGTAACCTGTGGGTAGAAGGTAGGTGTGGCTTTCCCTATGATCTTTCTTGTGCAGTGGTCTAGCTGCTCTTGTCAGTAGGGAAAAGAGGGGACTAAGGCCCAGGCTGGGAGGACTGGATGTTGGACTGAGGTGAAAGGCTGTTTGGGAATTGGGCAAATCTTTTGAGCAGTAGTATTTTTTTTGTTGTGTTTCTGTTTGGACTTCAGTTCTGAAAGGGGTACACTTTTGTGACTTAGTTGGAGTGATCTAACTGTATGGAGGACTGGAGAATCATTTGAGAAGGAAAACTGAGGTGTAATACTAACTGAAAATCAGACTAGGTCATGAGTCATGACCTTATTTTAATAGGGTTCTTAGGGGTGCCTTGAGGGGTTTAGTGTGTGGGAGAGAGTTGGTCTGGGCGGGAAGTAGGGGGCAGGAGATTTGGGCCCCTACCTGGCATAGCTCCTGGGGGGCATATATTTCTCTGTGCCACCCTGTACTTGCAGGCACTACACCCATCGCTCCGATTGGCAGCGATTCCTATCCAGTGGGAGCAATGGGGGTGGAGCCTGACAGAGCTTCCCTGCCATCTGTGCAGAGCTGCTTCCTTTCCCTGCCAGCCAGAGCTACAGCTTGTCTTGATTCCTGTTCCCTCTTGTAGTGGGGCAAGCTGGTGCTGGTACTCCAACCACATAGGAGTGTGTGTGTGCACCAAGGCTTGGAGCACCAGCTCACCCCACTGCTGGATGGGAGGGGAGCCAGAAGCCTCATGGGCCAGGTCAAGACAAGCCATGTGCTGGATCCAGTCTGTGAGCCCTAGGTTCCCCAATCCGCATTATAAGAATGAAATCTCAAAGACCTTCTATTTTTCTAATCCACCAATCCTACTACTGCTGGACTAATCCAACCCATTTCAGTATATGAGAGTAAAGTAGGGGGGCTAACCTTCCCAGACACTACACCATCTGGAACAAAGTACCTACAGTTCTGAAAGCAGATTATTATGCATACATGAAAACTAACTGAATTGTGGCCACAGAGCAGAACTGGGACATTTTTCTTCTAATCGGTATTGTCAGATAAAAACTACATTAAGACTGTGTTAAACTTGAGAGCAAATACTAAGTAATTTAAGGTGAAAAGCATTACAAAGATATCTATCCTTAAAACACGCATTATAAATCCTAGAACTAAGGTTAAACTTAAAAGAAATGTAAACAAAGTTTTGGAAGCGCACAATTAAAACATCCAAATGACCTTGATTCTGCCCTATAGTGAGATGCCAATAATCAAAAATTAATTCTTGCCAAAAACATAATTCTATCCTCTGCACAACATCTCTCAGGATCTTGCCTCGTTAAATTGTGCCAAAAACATAATTCTATCCTCTGCACAACACCTCTCAGGATCTTGCTTCATTAAATTAAGCAAAATGTTATACTCCTGTCTCCTATCAATCTACACCTAAAGCAGGTCTAGATTTCACTCAAGCCAAACAGTACTCTCATTTCTGTGGTCTCCAGTAAAACAATATTGCTTGACAGTCACTCTCTCCAGTGGAGAAGCTGCTATCTGTGGAAAGAAGCCAGGCTGCTGAAGTAGCACTTTGCTACTCTGCAGTTTGTAGGCTATGTCTACACAGCAGCGTTACTTTGGAATAACCAACGTTATTCTGAAACAACAAAGTCTGTGTCTACACTACAAGCAGTTATTTCGACTTAATGTCAAAATAATGTCAAGCTCGAGGACTTCTTATTCCAACTCCTGTTACCCTCTGGCTACGTCTAGACTGGCATGATTTTCCGGAAATGCTTTTAACGGAAAAGTTTTCCGTTAAAAGCATTTTCGGAGAAGAGCATCTAGATTGGCAAGGACGCTTTTCCGCAAAAGCACTTTTTGCGGAAAAGCATCCGTGGCCAATCTAGACGCGCTTTTGCGCAAAAAAGCCCCGATCGCCATTTTCGTGATCGGGGCTTTTTTTCGCAAAACAAATCTCAGCTGTCTACACTGGCCCTTTTGAG